ATATGTTTTACTTGAATTGACCCTTTTAGCTGGGAAAATAACTCAACAGTTAAAAAATTTAATAATGTAATAGTAAACACATACATGCAGCTGATCTTGAAAAGCTTGTCCACCTATTAAGGCATTTCCAATATTCTAATAGCCATGTGACTCACTTTCCATTCGTGTAAAATTCGCACGAAAGAAAATATTAACAAAGTCAGACGCCTCAAATTCAAGGTACTCAAGATAAAAATAAAGYTGTTTTTTAAGTCATTTGCTCATACTATCAAAAATATTTTCTTGCCTTGATGTTTGATCTTGAATAGATTTAGTTGTTCTCAGGAAAAAATCGTCAAACTTAATATAAGCGAAAACATTTTGCATCTTTTCAACACCAATTCATTTCAGAACAACTCATAAAAATAGTAATTGAGCTCAGTTTCCTGTATTGCTTACCACTGTCTTCCTCAAAACTACTACTGCATAATGATTATTGTTGCATCCGTAGCATTCTTGACAACGTTTTCCAACTTCTTCATGTCTCTGTTTCGACGGTGCAATTCGTGATATTTTTGATACGCGCGGCGCGCAGATTTGTGGGARGTATCTGGGGAGGTCCATCGACTAGATTTGCGACGCTTTTCCGTCGCAAATTATGCAAATGAGGCCAATACTATGTTTTCTGCTTAAAATAAGAAGTTTTAGCACACAACTTAGTTTAGGAACGGTATTGACACCTTTTTAAAAACAAAAATGTGTGAAAACATTTGTGTTTATGCGATAGAAGTATGATTTTCTTGACTAACGAGTCGCCATCGCGTCATTTTCAAACAATCACGAATCGAAAAATAATGCATTCCCCCAGACGGTCGTCTGGCATTCCCCCAGAGTCTCTCACGCATTGACATCCGCTGGATGGCAAAAGWGCGGGCTCTGGGTACGAGATTGGATGGCATTCTCGTACCAAGACCCTACATTTGCGGCATCTATCGGACTGTCGGTAGGATGTGGGACACCTTATAAACCGGAAGCAAGAAATCTTGCTTCCGTTTATGCTCTAAGCTCTCTCTCCAGACTCTCTTGGAGATCAGCCTCTTTCTCGCATAGAGGCGATTTCGTATGACTGGGAAAACGGCGATGACGAATCGCGTCCGTACCGTAACTGTATCGTAGCTGTATCGTATTCATGGATTCTGAGATCTAATATATTAAAGTAGGGAAAATTTTGCTTTAATGAGCTGAAACTTTTCAGGGGTGTTGATAAAAATAAGAAGTACACTATGCTCTATAGTTTGAAGTAATTTTATTCAGTTTTACCACTTTTATTGAACTTTTCGTTTTTCTCTGCCAAGTTCAGGGCTTGGGCTACCTGTGGTCTGGGGACTAAAAAATGTTAAGTAATGTTTAAAGGCCGACAATGAGGACTTGACGGGGTTTCAATGTCCGCGCAATTGGTTCCAGTCCGAGGCGCAGCCGAGAAAAAAACAAGCGAAGGAAATACGACATATTACATTGATTTCTTGCATCTCCACCAGAAGGTTTTCAGTTTTCATAATTTTGAATATATGAAGCACCGTTTCTTGTTCTTCAATTACCGGACGGCTCATCTGAAACAAAGTCTATTCAAATTGTCTTTGTTTGATTTTCATGGCATTCCTAATGAGCCTGATTCATAAGTTTTATAAGTATGTTCAAAGGAATCGCATCAGAAACTCGGTGGTGTAATGGAATAAGACGGCGCATRTAGACTGGACGGTAAGGGATCGAGTCGTSAGGAATTAATGTATMAAAGACCTTTTTTTCACTAAATTAATTTTAAATTGATTATTTCTAATAATTTAATTATYATTAGCTAGTAGAGTGGTTTTCATAGACCCGTGAAAAAAAGTGTAATGATTAGAGTGTAATAAATCGTAATAGTCGCGTAGAGACAATAAAAACAAAAGAGCCAAGGTATGATAGTGATTCTAAACTAATGAATTATTCATTAGACATTCTTCCAATGAGCATTCAACTGTGGGTCACATGACAGTACCTATAACTCAAGTTATAAACACTGATYAATTAAACATGAATTTTATAACTAACCGGTTCAGTTAGTTATAACACTCATGCATAAAACATCAGTAGCCTGTGTACATCCGTTTCTGATGTACACAGGCTAAACATCAGTGTTGTAACTGATTTACAGACACTCGATGTGTGCTCAACACTAGAAAAGTTCTAATCATAGAACTTTACTAGGTGTCGAGTTGAAATTACTTATTTGCAGAGTCACAGTACACTTAAAAATAGTGGCGCTTGGATGTGGGAAACCAAGTTGATTACTACTCATGCTCAGATGGAGATATCTTCATCAATTATTCATTTTTGATATATTTTTATTTATTTCATGTTTATTGTAGTTTCTTAGGTTTGGGTTTTAGAAGTCATTTAAAAAACTCGTAGTTCGTGTTTTATCGTGGATATAAACACCCGGCCTTCGACCTCGTGTTTATATCTCCCGATAAAACACTCCTACTCGTTTTTTAAATATCACTAATTATACACTAGTAGCTGGAGATATGGAAGGAGTAACTGGAAATAATGTAGAAGTAACTGGAAATAATGTAGAAGTGACTTGAAATAAGCTCGAAGTAACTGGAAATAAGAAAGAATACAAGGTAGGAGTACTTCCTCTGGTTTCGAGTTACTGCACGTGGTACAAATTACAATCAGGGATGGGCTTGATACCTCATGAATAATTTTAATTAAAATGAGTTTTGAATGTTGCAAAAAACTCCAACGCTAATTTGAAACTCAAATCCGTTAAAATTCTTGGAGAAATTGCCGTACAAATATGTTCAGAGATAAATGGGGCAAACTGATCATGCGCAAATCACTTTACAAAGCACTCTTGTCATCCCACATTGAATACGCATAAAGTAAAATAGAACCGCTCTTGGCTGTTCACTGAAATCGGTTGACATCCTGCATTGGTCAATGATCGGGTTTCAAACCTGAGACCTTTTTTTTGTATTTTATCGGGGGTCCCAAAAAGTAAGGACCCGAGAGACGCCCTAGGGCATCTCAAAACATAACAAAAGTTATCGATACACAATACGATACATAGATTCTCAGGACATGAAATGAAAGTTTTAATTGATTTAAATTGTAAATTTTAGAGAGCCCMAAAAGATCTAAAAAGAGCCCATTTTTATAAAACGGACGACCAGACAAAAAATGAAGGGAATTCTTGAAATTGAGGCTTATGACGATGGCCACCTCGCCGGCACGCCAATGAAGGCTCGAAGGAGCGGGTCCTCAACAGGCCACGCTCCGAGAAAAGGTTAACTTTAAAGTGATAGGCGGGTTTCAACAAACCACACCCTTAAAAGCAAAAGCTTAAATTAAAAAATGGGGCAGGTCTTCAACAGGCTCCAAAAAAAGAAAAAAATTAAAGTTTAAGATTAAAGTTTAAGATTAAAGTTTAAAGATTGAAAGGAATTCTTGAAATTGAGACTTATGACGATGGCCACCTCGCCAGCACGCCAATGAAGGCTACTCGCGGGGGCCAACACCAGAGAGGAAAAGGAGATGATTTCGCGGATAATGAATTCGGTACTAGAACCAATCATCATATCTTTTAACAGAATTGAAGGGCTTTTTCCCCTTTTTACCCGGTACGGGTCCCAGAAAAAGTGAGTCCTTCGCAGGCGGACCTGAAAAGGTTTTCTGCGAGTCATCATATGTGATGTTAAAGGAATTGAAGGACTGTTTTTTCTTTCTAGCCCTCTTCTTATTAGGAGTACCTGCATTGGCCTGCTCCTTTTTGAGKGCCRTTGCCTGGGATTGAGGTAGATTGGCATAGTGGGATACTTTCTYCCTCTGAGCCTCTAGCGCTCGACCCAATGAGGGACTGGATACTGAAAAGTCAAGTGAAATTGCAGACGGCGGTGACGGTTTAAACGAAGGCTTTTTGGACGCTCTGGTTTGCCTCAGAGCCGCTTCCCGAGATTTCGGGGCGCTTTTCCCATCAGCCTGAGATTGTGAGTCGGGCTTGAGYATTATGGAGTCCGCTTGGCTCTCCTTCCTCGGAGTACCAGTGAAGAGGACCGGCGTGGAAGATGGTTCTGGCTCAGTCCCATCAGGAGAGCCGGACATTTGAACATCATCCGGCAGAGCCGGTGATGGAAGTGGAGGAGTAGGCGAATTGGAAAGACGGACCAACATTGAGGATGATTTTGGTTCAGTCCCATCAGCAGAACTGGACATTTGAACATCATCCGGCGGAGCCGGCGGTGGAACTTGAGGAGTAGGTGAATTTGAAGGATGAACCGACCTTGAGGATGGTTTTGGTTCAGTCCCATCTGTAGAGCTGGACATTTGGACATCATCCGGCGGAGTCGATGGTGGAACTGGAAGAGTAGGTGAAATGGAAGGATGGACCGACATTGAGGGTGGTTTTGGTTCAGTCCCATCAGTAGAGCTGGACATTTGGACGCCCTCCCCGGTAGATACCTCCTCATCGTGCAAAGAGGGACCAGGTGGAGTCGGCGGAGGAGCTGGAAGATTTAGTAAAGTAGAAGGCTGCTTAGTAGCCCTCGRAAAAGTGGTTGCAGATGTTTCAGGAGAGGATTGAGTACTTGGATAGAACCCTTCGGCCAGGGTCTGTATAGTGATCTCACTGGATTGAGAGATGTCCTGGTCTTGGAAGCCGTCCAGTTCATACACTAAGTCTCTGGAGTGTGTTGAATATTTCGAGCAGCTCTTGGGCCCGGCGCGCAACAACTGGATGGTCGGGGTCCCCGTCTAGGACCTCAGCGATTGTAGCGGTTTTATGAAAGCATGGGGAGTAAACAAATGGCCCCTGGCATTGTAGCGTGTGGTGACTCATTTCTCCACACCGTCCACACGAGTTTCGAAGGGGGCACTTGTACATAGTGTGTACCCACCAATTACAATGTTGGCAGCACTGAGGCTGCCCCCTGTATTTGACATGGGCCCGATAAGGGTCCAAAAAGACCACTGASGGTATATATTCTTCTAGTTCCATGAGTATTCGACGATCCCCCGTCTGCAGACCGTCCTTGTCAACAATCCTGAGCACTTTTTTGATCTCTCCATATGGCGAAAAAAACTCCGTGATTACCGGATCGTCCATCTCGAACGGCAGGTTTTGCACTGTGRTCACAGAGTTRGTAGGTTCTGCCTCAGTCAGGAAGAGGAGCACCCCTCTCAGGTGAAGACCTTTTGTGAGAATGGCCTCGCGAGCACTTACGGTTTTATGGGCTACTGTGATGTTATGTTGTTGAAGCACTCTGCCAATCTTCTCAGAAAGTCCTGCTACGTAAGGCAAAACATAAAAGGAAGCCGGAAAGACCTCACTTTTTACCACGGTTTGGTTTATAAGATTCACTGTAAAAATTGTAATTTTGTATATTGCGGACAGACCGATAGATCTTTAAAAACCAGATTCAGCGAACACAAGCGAGCGGTATGCCAGAAAACCATAACATAAAAAATTGCTGAACACGGCAATTCAAAGACAGTCGTTACCGAACATAATTACCATCAAAGACTTTTCCTCGAAGCTTGGCATTCTGAGTTTAACGAACATTCGGGGAACTTTAGAACTCAAATCCCCGCGTTATATAAAACTTTGTTAGATTCTTTTATAAAAATAACTTTCATATTACGCGCGCTCTCTGATTGGCCGCTCGCGTAATTTTTTTTTCTCGGCTTTTTTTTTCTCATGAATATTTGAGCGCTTGTTATTTTATAAAAGCAATAAAAAACAGTTTTCCGTGTATTATACTCTGATAAAAACACTTGGGATGTGGAGAGAACAGGAGAGAAGCGTAGGAAACCACGACGCGAAATTAAACAGCGCGCGCGCTAATCATTGTAATTTTTTGTGTAAACCGTTAGTCGAGCGTGCACTAACTGAAGCAATTTTTGAGAATGGTGCCTTTTGACATACTGCCCGGCGGTTTTCTTTTACTCTGGCCTTCAAAGATCTATCAGTCTGACCATAGTACACAAACTGGCACTCTTTACATCCAATTTTAGTCTTTCCTTCCTTTTGGTTCAGGGAAGGTCACTGATCTTATCGACTGTTCTATGTGCTACCCTGATATTATGACGTCTAAGTTCTCGATTTATCTCTGGTAGGTTGGACTTATCCTTTCTGACGTACCACGAACATAAGTCAGGAGAACAGACTTGCTGCTGGGATTTTCTTAATCTTGGGAATTAGTAGGTACCCTGTGAATCAAGTTCTCGCAACGCCGCCAAAATGATGAAGGGTAGTTGTTATCTTTGAAAGCTCTCTTCACATGGGTCAACTCTGCTTTCTTTTTTTCGTCGGAAGAGTGGAATGTGGTTTGCACGACGTAAGAGTGTTGTGTCCACAGATCTTTTATGAACAGCTGGATGGTGCGAATTGAAGTCAAGGTACCTCTTAGTGGTCTTCAGTGTGTGTAGGTTTTCTATACACACTTACATCTAGGTTACCCTCAATAGTGCATCTTGTGATGGTATCTAAGAACACTATAAACGGAACTCTTCTCAACCTTGTAGGTAAACTGGATGTGATTTTTCACAGAGTTATGGTTTTTGAAGTTCTCTACTTGGTCCGTCTTTAAACACGTATGACTGTCATCCACGTATCGAAGCCACCACTTTGGAGGGCTGGTAAAAGTCGACAAAGCTCTTGTCTCTACGTACACTCCATTCAGTACCATGTTGGCCAGTAAGGCACTAACTGGAGACCCCATTGGACAACCTTGTCTCTACGTACACTCCATTCAGTACCATGTTGGCCAGTAAGGCACTAACGGGAGACCCCATTGGACAACCAAATATCTGTTGATATGGAACGTTCTCAATTCAAAATAAGAGTTATTTATAACAAACGTTAACAGTTCCATAACACTATCTAAAGACAAATTGGTGCGAGAACTTAATGTGTCGTCGGCCTCCAGTCTTTCTCTGGCAACATGAAGAGCTAGTTGTGTCGGTATACGGTACAATAAGAAACTACATCAAACGAAACCATAGGTTCGTCTTCTGTAACACTCAATTCACTTATCTTTTGTTTKAAGTCCGAAGAGTTCTTAACAGTGTAGGTGTTCTTTAGTAGCTCTTTTACCCCCGGGCTCTTTTATTACAACGCACTAGGAAGGTCATAGTTCTGACGGAACGTCTGCGTTTTTTTCACATTACAATCTTAGTGACAAATATTTTTATACAGTTTTGAATATGACTCTTCCTAGCTGCATTTTTAAATTACTATCATTATTTAATGAGCTCCTTCGTTTCCGTTCGATTGTGATTAAAATACCTTTCTTTTCATTAGAAAATGTATCGAGACCTGTCTCGATTCCTCTAGTCCAGAACTGGACCCTCTTTTCTCAATTACTATAGATGATATTCTATATAAAAGTTAAAAATCCAAAATAATAGTTTTCAACTCCGCGCGCGCAAGGATAAAAGAGGGTCCAGTTCTGAACTACGATTCCTCTGGCTCGATTTCTGAAACGGTATTTAATGGGCACCCTGCGAATCTTGTACTCAGAGTTTTTTATTTAATTTTGATTTTATTATATCATTGAAATCATATTACTACTGATAATAATTTGAAATATAGCAGCTAAATATTTAAATTACCATGCTGATTTCAATTACCATGCCGATTTTCGCTCGGCCTTACGGCCTCGATTAGGCGCTTTGCGCCGACAAAAACAATAGCGAAGAGAGAAAATATCAAACCTCTGGGACCAGGGTACATGACCACATATACAAGCCCTTGTTTAATAATTTTGGTTTAAGTTCATTTCTCTGTAAAACGGTATAGAACATAAGGCGTAATAGTAGAATGCAGTCATTATTATGTAGATATATAGAGGATACTACATGGGGGCGGGGTGGGCATTAAACGAAGACCTAAGACCTAAGACTCAAAAACGAAGACCCCAAGAAAATCAATTCAGAAATCGTTCCAAAAGTGCGTTATGTCACGCAGAACATAACTAACAACAAAACACGAACGTTTCAAGGATTTTTAATGGGGTCTTCGATTTGGACAAACCCCCCCCCCCAAATGTCCAAAACGAAGACCCCCCTAAAATCGCCTTTAAATCATTTCTAACTTTCAGAACAAACAAAGCATGTGCAATAAACATCAACTACAACAAGAATAGCCAATTTTGGGGCTTTTTTGCTAGGGTCTTCGTTTTGGACNGGGGGGTCTTCGTTTTGGACATTTGGGGGGGTTTTGTCCAAAACGAAGACCCCATTAAAAATCCTTGAAACGTTCGTGTTTTGTTGTTAGTTATGTTCTGCGTGACATAACGCACTTTTGGAACGATTTTGAATTGATTTTCTTGGGGTCTTCGTTTTTGGGTCTTAGGTCTTAGGTCTTCGTTTTATGCCCACCCCATGCGTGGAGATACGGATTTTATTTTTAGAGTGTTCAAAAGATTCAGTCTCACGAGTGAGGGTAGCGAGGTCGGTTTTCAACACGAGAAGATAAAATTCTTATCTCCAAGCGACCATGTAATATTCTGTTTATCATATAACTAGTTACCCTGGTCCCAGAGGTTTGATATTTTCTCTCTTCGTTATTGTATTTGTCGGCGCAAAGCGCCTAATCGAAGCCGTAAGGCCAAGCAGAGTTAGTAGAGGAGACTACTCTGGGCCAAGCGAAAGATTTTCGCTCGGACTTACGGCCTCGATTACGACGCTTCGCGCCGACAAAAACAATAGCAAAGAGAGAAAATATCAAACCTCTGGGATCAGGGTAATAACTAGTACATATGAAAGAAAATTATGTCGTAAAATACCTTTTTTMTTACTTCCACTATATAGAGAAACCTCGAGTGTGTTATTWTCACTAGTGGAAATTATAATAACACTTGTTATTTTCTAGTCAAAAGCAGTTATAAACATGTCTTACCATCGAAAACATAGAAGACTTACATGTATTATTTTAAGGTGCGCTGTGTTTTGACTGATATGTGTGACCTTGCTGACAAAGGGCTCACCACATGCATAAAAAATCATGTATTCTCCAGTCCGAGAACTGGGAACGAAGGCATCAACTTTTAGCGAAAAGCAAGTTGATAACAGAACCCCGCGCAAGAAACTCGACTCGACCTTTTGTTAATAGTCGATTTACGCCTTCAAAAGTATTAAGAAGACTGTCAACACTAAGCGTTTTACGAACAAAAAGCAAGCGGCTGTGGGCGTCAAAAGAAAGGAATTCGAAGCAGCACGAATTGTGATATCTGTTTACCACTCGACTTCTAGAAGTCATATAATTTTTGTCTACTCGATGACACGATGCAAAGCACCAGATTTCACCAAAATTCTTAAATCGTTGATTTCGATTTTTCGCGTTGTTGAAGCATGAAGTTTGAGTACTGATAAACTGATAATAATACAAGACGACGAAAATCAACCGCGGCCGAGGTAGCATCGTGAATGAAAAGTCAGTTACTTTTCTAAGCTTAGAGGTTTGCAGGCGTCGACACGACAATACTTAGAATTTATATAATGGAATACGAATTAGAACATATGAACGACGAATCCGTTATGAATCGAAGTCACGAGATTAAAACATTGAAGGATGTCAGACGCTATGATAAAAAGACATTGACGTGTCCCGGGGGATGTTGTGCGCAGCTTCAACTTCATGAAATAACAAGCCATGAATGTCTGAAGTACCTAAGGGAACGTATGGTACAAATGGAGGAGCATGTTGTCGAGTTGGAAAGTAGAGTGGCAGAAATGGTCGCCATAGAATCATATTATAAAAAGAACGTCTCCGATCTAGAAAGAAAGATTGAAGACATGAGCGAAGAAATGAAATTATTGATGTTGGAACGAGCACGCAGAGATGAGATTTTCAGCAGCAAGGAAACCTTTTATAAAGAACAAACGGCTGCTTTAAAAGAACAAGTCTCAAGACTGGAAAAGCGCATTCAAGAAACCAGATCAAAATTGCCTTCAAGCGAAGATGACGCTGTCGAAAGCGATATTCATCGCATTGAGAAAGATTGGGCGTTGCGTTATGATAAACTACTAGCAGAGAAGATAACCATTGAGACCTTGTACCAGCGCAAAGAAAGAGAATACGAGCAAGATGTGAACGCCATGAAACAAGAAGTATGTGCACTGCGTGACAGTTTACGCTTGGAACGTGAAGTCATGGCTTTGGAGTACGACCAAGCAAATTTCGAAAAATTGCAAAGCTTGATCGATCAACTTGAAGAACTGGTGGAACAGAAAAAGGACACTACTACAAATAATGTTATCCAACAAAAAGGAAAGCTCTATTGCAGTGTCAAAAACGAGAACTATCACGTGAGTGGAGATCACGGTAAATCAAGACTGCCCGACTCTATAGGGAGCTTGGAATCGGAGGATGATCTTGCTATGGAATCACATTGACTTGCATAAATACTTATTTCTTTAAACAGATTTTTGGCAATCATATTGAAGAATGCAACTATTAATTATACAGGGCCTTAAAGGTCATCTCTAAAATAGAGCCATTATGGTCTAACATTGAGCAGTTCYATACTATATAAAAAATTCTTAAAATTCCAAAAAGCTATGATTGGCGTAATGTGTTGACAAAACCATTGCTAATCTGTTTAGCTGCGTTATTTGAATCACGCAAAGTCGGCTTTACTGCCCGGTCTACGTCACCGAAACTCTCTTGTCTGAGAAGCCTCAAACGAGATTTAGAGTGAACAGTTTGATACTCTAGTTGCTATAGTTACAGTTGTTTAGAACACCGACCGGGACGAAAAAAACAGGTCAAAAAGTAATTTAAGTTGGTTAGATCGTAATAATATTTTACTACATGATAACCAGGGGTTTCAAATTCATATTGTGTGAATTTTGTGAAAATCGGATTTAATTTAGACAATCTCGTACTCTGCTCGCTTTTTTCAAAATGGCGGGCATCGCCCGGTCACGTGACACCCACTCTCAGTGGTTGTTTAGTGTGGATTACCGCTGAATGGAGGTGCTATTTGGTTTTGGAAAATGATAATTTTCGGACAGGAGRTGTTGGACACATACAGCGCAAAATGGATCCCGGGTTAAAATTCAAAAATGGTTTCATTTGCCACTGWCCTTTGAGCTGTGAGGAGCACCGTCGGAGTTGATTAAAAGGCAAAATAAAGGCGGAACCTGAGAAAAACTTGAAACGTACCCTGAAAACAAGTGAAAACTCGTAATAGAGCTCAGTAGTATTGCGAAAAAAGAAAGCTAGAACACTGAAACCTTAATAATAATATAATAATAATATGTGGTATTTATATAGCGCCTTATGAAAAGATCGGATTTTTCGAGCAATTGTGAGAAAACTAAGTTAATTTTATTACGAAAAGCACAAACATACCTCACGGCGGTCGGCCGAAAAGACATGTTAATTACCATCAGCGATATGAATGACACTCATGTTTTGCAATTCCAAGCAACAATCCTTTGTTTGACATCATAAAATGTTGCAAAAATGCAAAAAGGGATTGACTTTTTTAATCTCAAAACTGTCAATATTTCAAAAGTGAAGTTGACCTTGACTATAAGAGAGGTGACGCTCGCGTCAAAAGTTGTTCAAGGTCAAAATTTTGGCGGGAAACCTCGACCGCAAGAAATTTAATTTGACTGTGTTTTTTGTTCAAATTCTTTATTATTATGCCTTGTACAGACGCCTTTATATTCTTTTAACTAATACCACAAACATGGTACAAACACATATTGAAATATAACCCATKATAAATATCGATAAAAATAAGTAAAATTGAGAGCATAATTTCTACGAAGAATCAAAATTCGCTAACTTTAGTTGCTTCAAAAATGAATAAACACTGCTGCGCCATCGTGCGCCATGCAACCATGGGACATTAAGAATTTATTTCTCGTTTTACATTGTTAATATCAAGACAATTGATTAAATATCTCGATCACAACTATTAAAAACGTCTGGCAATGTCAAAATTGACGACTTGTCGTTGGTAAAAAAGACAACAACATTTTCAAAGATATTTTTTCGCTATGAAGCGAAAATATATACGGAACATATTACAAAATCCACAAAAGTATAAAATATACTACCGATTTCTTGTGTTCTTTGTCAAACAGCGCTTCAAAATTCATCTAAAAACGCATTTTTGTACACACATATCGAGTCCTGGGCCGTCGACCTCTCCGCTTTTGAGATTCCCGCCAAATTCGAAGATATGATGGAAAATATGATTGCTCAAAATTAAAACCCAGGATCCTTTTCGAGCTGTGTCCGACACCGGCTGATTTTCGGAGTAACATTTAATTTTTTCAACTTTTCAGAACATTCTGAAAAGCTTATTTCCACACGTTTTTAAAGCAATCTGGAAGATTACCGCCAATTTCATAAGATTCCGATCCGTGTTTGAATGCACGTCAGAAAAACTTGTTCATCAAAAGAAAGAGAAGGAAAAACTTTGTCATTTTTGTCAAATCCAGTTTAGCAAACTATGGCCCCAAAAGAAACAGTCTTGACTACCTTTTTACTTTAATATTGACGACAAGGAAATGCTGATGAGTCCAGGAAACTTAAAGATCAAGAGGAAAAAACAACGGATTTGTGAACTCTCTTATGGATGTTCGTCGAAGACCAATGCAAACTAAGAGCAGCTGTATAAAAAAAGCAAGAGATATCAAATTAAATCTTCGAGATGRYTGAAAACAGGAATCAATTAGGCTGCTGAAGACGGTGGCGAAAAGTTCAAATTTATAGTATATATAAGTAGGGGAAGGTTTACCATAATGAGCTGCAACTTCACAGGGGTGTTGAGAAAAATAAGAAGAACACTATGTTGTAGTTTGAAATAATTTTATTCAGTTTTACCACTTTTATCGAACTTTGCGTTTTTCACTGACAAGTCCAGTGCTTGGGCTACCTGTGGTTGCACGCGTAAATTGAAAATGTTCGATCACCTCACTTTCTGTCTCGTTTTCTTCTTTAAAATTATCGCTTTCGCCAAAGATGGTGTCGGGCATCTTTGTTGATTATTRCAACAAGTGACAGCAGGACAGATTCTCGCTTTCTTATTGGTTTGTGCGCCTAATTGAAATTTTTGGAAGTTGCAAGAGACCATGTCACACACGCGTTTTTCAGAAAAATGTTGAAAAAAGTAAAAGCCAGTTCTACTTTCTCTCAACAAAAAAATGAAATGTTCAAGTTGCACGAGGGGGTGTCACACGTAAAAACAAGTTGAAAAACATACGGCACCTAGGCATCTTGCTGAGTCAATTGTACTTTGAACTCTATCGTTCAAATTAAAAAAAAAATTAATTTTTGTCAACTTATTTTTTCGTTTCTTGATCTAAGATATTTCTTTGGTGTGTAAAAAATCAAAACATAACATTTCGTGCCAATATCGAAAACGAAAAGCGACAAGGCGACATTTATTGTTCTTGTTTTTAAGAACCAGTCTTTTGGTTTTATTACACTTTACTTGATCATTTACAATAATTTCTAAATGGTGGCTCGTTTGAAATATTGCAAAAAATATTTTGTAATGCTATATGCAAAGTTTTTTTCGCTTTCTTTTTGTCTTCAAGCGTCTCACGAATATTCAATTCTTYACTCTTTTCACAGTGCTTGCTGTAAAAAATTCATGGTGATAGACTACTTCATGTTTTCTTTTTGTATTTTTAGCATCTTGTAGACGATGGATTCAGCCATTATTTCCACCAACTTTTATATTACATCKGTTTATTTCTTAATTTTTTCGTGACAAAAAGTCACAACAAATGAGCAACCAATGAAAAGTGAGAAAAATCTTAGCCAATCAAAACCATATTTGACCGGCCGATGCCAGGGCTATCTCTATCCGCCATTTTGAAAAAAGCGAGCAGAGTAGCCCTGGGAACGAGGTTGGATAGATAGATAGATAGATAGATAGATAGATATATTGAAGAAAAGGTAGACGTAAAGTCGGGCATCGCCTTCGGCTAACCCGACTAAAAAAGTTATTCGTTTAGACATGTGGTATCCGTGATTCATGAGTATGAATAAACAGTTAGAATTTTGAACAGTACATTAATTAATTAATAAAAAAACCAGTGAAAGTAACGCATCCTTGATTTCACTATGTGTTAGCTGTAAAAAAAATATTATACACTATAATTTACATTCATCTAGAGAGAATATTATAGCATAATCTTACCGTGTTTTTAAAAAACTTTTCACTCGTTCGCCTATACATGCACACATGTAATATCCTGTCTTTTTTAATTTTCAAAAATAGCCCGAGTTTACGCTTTAAGCCCGAGTTCACGCTCTAAGAGCGTCTAGTTCAAACATCCGGAACTCCCTATAAAAATTGCTTATATTCCTTTATAGATGTAACTGGGCTGTTTAAGTGTGTTTTATTTTGTCCATCTATGAGGGCTTCCCATTGTGGAAGTCCTTTAGTGTATCCTTTAGTGTAGTCCTTCGTAAACAAAAAATAATTAAACTAGACGATCAGCGATCGTTTACATGGGCTTCCTGTGGTTTATCCCAATCAGTAAATGATATTGAACCCTAATAAAATTAATATTACTAAGACAACAGCAAAAAAAGATTTCCTTTAATGAAGAATAATCAAACAAGCAATGTACTTAGTAGAATTTAATAATTGTGAAAGACGTAATTTATGTCTGACGGGTCGTTACTTTAAGAGTCGCATCCTTGGCTGTATTAAACACAGATCGATAGTCTTTCATGTTCTTCGCTTAAAATACTTCCAATCCTCTGTTTTTCCTCAGTATAAATCTGTTGACATTTCTTAGATAAGTCCTTGGTGATTGTAGAGCCGGTACTAGTATAAGTTTGCTTTTGATAAGCAAATGTTTTATAGAAATTCACGATCGGTAGATTCACGATAAATTCGCCGTATCTCTCCAAATGCCCTTTTGAGAAACGCTCGAATTTTTTTAGCTTGGCTATGCCGCGAATGGTGTGTGTATTTGTAAAAGAATCTAGCGTTCGACATGTTCGATCTTAAAAYTTCGCCGGCTAAACGATCGAGAAAAGATCGGAATAATCCTTGAAATCATCGTATCAATGAGCCATATTGACACTATATCTCCTAAAACGACTTCTGAAATTTCAGATTAATTGGTAAGAAGCTTATACAGGAACGTCCAGACCTCAAAAATCACATTTTGTCACGTGTTTAAAAAGCCACTTCTGTATGAAAACACCTGGTTACGGACTTCTAAATGCCCGTATGTTTACAGAAAAAATAAGTGACCTATTAACTAGTCCACCTCACCTCACACACCATCATCTATCTCCCTCCTATAACTCTTTGATTTCTTCGCAATCTTCGAGTTAAAAACGCGATAATTATAGGTTAATAGGATTCTTTACTTTAAACATTGCATCAAAAATTGTTAAATTATAAATTGTTGTTTATAGGGAAGCAAGGGTGGCCGAGCGGTGAGAGCGCAGGCCTGACACCACTGTGGTCCCAGGTTCGAGTCTGACTTGGGATCATATGTGGCCTGAGTTTGTTTCCGTTCTCTCCCTTGCTTCGAGGGTTTTTTCTCCGAGTTCTCCGGTTTTTCCTCCCTCAGCAAAAATGGAACATTTCGATCCTAGCTGTGCTCCGTGATCAGATATGGGTCGGTTGGTTGGCTGCTTTGTGTGTGTGTTGTAACTATGTGATTGTCCTCATAATGATAGCGCCCTCGTATACCGCATAACCGACTCGATCACGTGAGCTGCGTCCTTCGTAATTC